ACAAGAATAATTGTATCCCTTGAAATCCCTTTTGTTATCTGCTCTATATTTTTTTATAACTTAATCATATCTTTTGGAAGGACAAAGCTATTATTATTACTATATGTCTGTGGGACATTTTAAAAATTATAGTAGCACGTTATATTATTTACTTACCATTGCTGTTTGAGGCCCACCCCTGTGTTATGCTCATTTCCTGTTTTCCTGGGGTAAATCCTTCAGGCTTTTCGTGTGTTTTGTGAAGAATTTGTTGCAGTAAAGTCAATGTTAAAATGTTTGTATCTTGTTGAAAATGAACATTTTTGTTTTTTGAATAAGAGTTTAATTGGGTATTGACTTTAGCCCTGGCAGTAGATTTATCTCAGTTCTGAAGATCACACTTTATTACTTTCTGATGCCGACTATTATTATGAATTTGAGATAGTTTTTCATTCCAGGTAATTTGACCTCTGTTATATAAATAGGTAAATATATGTGTGTAATATATATGTATATATGATTGACCTGCATTTTCATTTAGTATACTCAGGCTCAGATTACTACCTCCTTCCCTCATATTCATCTTTTAAAAAATGGATAAGCCCAGATCTGAAAACTCATTTTTGTCAGTTGAACATATTTTACAGGCACCTCTTTAACATTCTAATCTCTTTATTCACCCCATTCCCACATTCTAACCACTTCATCTTTCTGGAAATCATAGTATGACTGTTATGTTCAATCTATTCACATCTCTACTTCACATTTTCCGTTTCTTTCTATGTAAATACCAGCTTCTAAAATCTACCTTCCAACAGCCCCCTAGAGCAGTAGAGCATCTATTCTTTATGCTATTTTATTGTAACTACTTGAACTTCTTACATTTTTACTGCTAATTTTTTTTTAAATGTCTATTCACATCTGAATTTTTGTTTAATACTTTCTCAGTCTCACTGCCCCTCCTTCACCTTTTCTGGGAATTCTAATTGCACTCATTTTAAAGGCTTTTTAAATTTACCTCTTCCTCTTCCTCTGGGTTTGATGCCTTTCTTTTGAGGCACTGACTGCTCCTAGCTGTACATGTTATGCTTTGCTCTGTCGATTTTGTTCATCTCCTGAGCTGTTCTGAGGTCATGCACTCTATTCCTGCCGTGCGGTTGCTCTAGTTTTCTGAACTGATCAGGCTCCTAACCTACTGCTGAAGCCAGTTGATCCACACTCACAAGAGGACATAGAGTCGTTACAGTGCTGAATAATACCTAATCAGTGCTGAATAATACTTAATCAGTTGGCAAATAGCTGCTTGTTGGAGCTACCCGAAGAATGTTCCTCTTCTTTTGAGCCCTAGTCTCTCGGCAGAAACCCAAGACCTTGCTACACCTGAGCTACAACGTAGCCAATGGACCAGCAGGGGCCTCTAGCACTCTGTTGCAATGTAAGAACAGTCCTTTCTGATGAATGGGCACATTTAAAGTTTTGCCACAGCTCTACCTCTTCCCAAATCTTAACGCTAGAATCTTGAGTTCTCTGCCATATGGGAAATACTATCCCTGGTGTCATACCCCTAGTGGAAGTCTGTCTCCGTTCAAGTTGCCCAGCCTGCCCTACCACAAACTACAGGGAGTGCAATACCAGATTTAGTTCAAAGCTAAGAGCGTACAAATGACTCAACCCTTGTTCCTTTTTGATACCTCCTGCTCTCTTCCTGGCACTTACAGGGGTAGCTAGATGTGCAGATCTTCAAGCTCCACTTACCGCTGTTTGAATTCGTTTTCCAGTGGTTATTTATGCACGGCACCATTTCATCCCACAACTCACCACAGCAAATTCTTTCTGTAATCGGTCTACTGACCGTTCTCAGTCACTGAACACACTTCCTCATGCTTGCTGCTTGGTTTCTGTTCTGCAGGGCTACCTTTCATGGTTTAATATTTCTACCGTGGGAGCCAGATCTTCACGCAGTTATCTGTTGGGCTTCTGTTGCTGTTATTGTTCTGCCGTTATTTTTTGTATTTTTAGTATCCTATTCTGAACATTTGAAATAGTCAGAGTTTATGTTATAAATCTTCTCCATTGGCTTGTAATAAGTTTTTGAAAAATGTTTCCATCACATGCATCTATATTTGTACAGCTTGTGATTTTAATGATGTGATGTCATTTACTAGTATTTGGGTGTATTGCTAGATAAATAACTGTGAATGATTTTTAGTTTTTGATATTATGGATTTGAATTTTCCAAAACTTGGCAACATGTTTGTCTAGTATTACAAGTTCCTAAATCTTCCTTTATTGTAGAGCGATCAAGAGCACTTGCTGCTCTTGTAGAGAACCAGGGTTCTGTTCCCAACACCTGCCTGATGACTCACAACTAACTATAACTCCAGTTCCAGGAGATCCATTGCCCTCTTCTGACTTCCACAGGCACCGGGCATGTGGTACCCATACATTCACTCTGGTAAAACACTCATACAATTACAATTTTAAAAACATACAGCACACTAAAAATTATCTTCTTCTCAGAAATGATGAGACCAGGTACAAGGTCCTTTGAATACTTAAAAGGATCACATCCATACTGGAGCAGTTGCTTGATTCTGCCAGCACTTCAAAGTCACACACACTCTGCAGAGGATTTAATGAGCAGCCTTTCAAGAAGACGATTTGAAGTCCTCAGTATATTTGACCTTGGGCTGTACTTGAACATTATTTGTCACGTTTGCCTAACACTACAAGTGACCCCATAGACTAGTTTGACACCATTCAATGAAATCTTTTTAAGTAATATTCAGTGGAATTGAAATACATTTGATGTGTTCCAAGGAAAGGCAGCCAGTTAATTACAAAGCTTAAGAGCTTGAAGAGGAAGCATTGACTTATGTGTGACATACTGAAGAGAGAAACAAATATTAGAAGAGCCTTATTTCTTAAAAAATGAAATCTTTTTTAAAAAGAGCCTTTAAGACTGTTAACTCCAGACCCCGGTGTGGTGGCACACAACTTTTAATCCATGTGAGTTTGAGGTCAGCCTGGTCTACAGAGGGAGTTTCAGGACAGCCAGGACTGCATAGAGAGACCCTGTCCCAAAACAAGACTGTTAACCTTCTAAGTAAGGTAACCCTATCTGTGCTTTTTTGATACACAGTCATCATTTCTTTTAACCCATAGGCTGTAGCAGCACCAATAGAACATAATGTCGTAAAAACCTGTCCTTTGCCTAGATTTCTCTATTAATAGTTTGGAATTTTCTATTTTTCCTGAAAATGTATTCTTTGCCTCCTCACCTCTTATATATTCTGACATGCTACTTAGGGATATTCTTTAACAATGAGTATGTCCCAAGACTTTATTTTCTAGCCAGACAGTAGACTGAGATTTAAAACAGAAAATGTGTATGAAGAATGGGGCACTCGGAATCCCAAAATGAAGAATTGAAGACGACAGCATCCTCTCAAGCAAGTCTCAGCAATGTCACACAATCTTTCGCTTTAACACATGTGGGGAAAGGTCCCAAGCACAAGTGAGAAAGGGAGCATTTCAACATCTGCCAGCAGCATGAAGAGGCCTGCTCTAGGAGACATTGGCAGAGGTTGCTGGGACACAGCAGGCAAAAATGCACTCTTCAGCTGGAAGTGTGAACTGTTGTAGCTGCAGGCAGGAAGGGATAAGGAAACTGACCTCACCACTGAGCATTGTCATGGGAATTTCTGCATGAAGTCCCGGTCATCCACTGGCTCATGGTTGCTGTGGGGAGGGACCTGTTACCACCCAGGCAGGATTTGGCTGTCCCCAGAGCATAAGGTTTGCCAAGCATTTCCTCTACCTCCCCTGATAAAGAAACGACCTGGCTTGAAGATGAACTATCCTTGCTTCTCAGAGGGTTCAGGTGAAAGCACAGCTTTGCAAACGTTTGTTGGAATAGCCTTGGCAGAGGCCAACCTAGATTCCTAGTTCTCCTGAGGAAAAGGGTGCACAGCACCATCAGCCAGCTGAAAGGGTACACAGAAAGTCCTTACCAAGGGACCTAGAGTGCCCAAGTCGATAAAGTGTGAGGCTCAGACCAACCCAGGGAACATCAGAGTAATCCTGTGGGACAAAGCCTAGGAACGGCCCTGCTAGCTAATTCATGGGACACAGAGAAAGTGTCTGGGACCCAATCTATTTTGAGCCTCTGTGGGTGCTTGTGAGGTCCCACTCCCTCCACAACGAAGTCATTCCTTTTCCCTTGGGGCTTCCACACGTACCAAGCAGGGAGGGGCCTAGAAAGGAAAAAGAGCTTGGCAATTAGGAGACAGAAATTAGGAGACAAATTAGGAGACAGAAAAAAAAAATGTGTGCAAGATTAATAGCAACAATGAGACCTACCATAGTTTTGTTTATGGAAATAAAAAGCTGCCAGGTAGTGGTGGTGCACGCCTTTAATCCCAGCACTCGGGAGGCAGAGGCAGGCGGATCTTTGTGAGTTCGAGGCCAGCCTGGGCTACCAAGTGAGTTCCAGGAAAGGTGCAAATCTACACAGAGAAACCCTGTCTCGAAAAACCAAAAAAAAAAAAAAAAAAAAAAAAGAATAGACTGAAAATATAATACGTAGAGTGATTTCTTTTTTTTAATGAAAGATTACAATTTTCACTCTGATCTGATGGTGATAAACAATGTGGTCCTTCACAGTTTGAACAGTCTTTTGAATATCAAAATAATGATCACTTTGTACTTTTGTTAATAAAGAAACCAAAATCGTGTTTGTGGGGATATTCCAAAATCTATCATTCTTGTAAGAAATTCTCCTTGAGCATATTTTAGTTATTTTATGTTCATGTGAAACTGGGGAGTGCTCTGTACACACCAATTTTCGAGTGTCCTGTATTAGTCAGTAGGGACAAATGTTTAAAATTGTCACCTGTCCCTAGTATCTGACAAGTGTGCCCAGTACACTCTTTATGATCATTCAGTTTAATGCTATGCAATTCATTCACTATTTATTTCAGAGATTTTAACTAAGACTCTTCCACTCTCCCTTTCTCAAGTCTTTACCCTTTTGGCAGCAATGTGCCTCCTGGTTCTGTTGAACAGAAGAAGGGAAAGTTCCCGATCTGGCCAGAGTGGAGTGAGGCGGACATAAATGCCGAGAAGTGGGATACAGGCAAAGGAGGAAAAGAGAAGGACAAGACCGCCAAGAGCCCCCTCTTTGTAAGTAGGCGGGGCCGAGGCTGCAGGTGGGCAGCAGCGCCTTTTCAGGTTGGGTTTTGAAGTCCTGGAGAGGGAGGCCAGGGTCTCGCGCACGCTGGACAAGTTCTGTCCAGAGCTGCACCCTGGCTCATTAATAGTGGGGTTCACCTGTCAGCATGAGTTTGCACTCCTCCTCCTCTCTAATCTCTGTTCCAAAAGGAAAGCTTTTCTTTTCCCCTGATACCTTCTCCCACCTTGTTTTCCTAAGCCTTTATCCTGGGAAAATGGCGGCGGGGGTGGTAGGGGTGTGGGGGGGAATACAATGGAGTCCTCATGAAATACAAGGAAAAATGAGAGATCAGTGAGCAGGTTTGGCAACTGGTTTTGGACAGTAAGGGACCCAGGGTTTGACTCCTTAGCAAAAGTCCCATGGTATCTGTTTTGGCATCTGATGTTCAGCCTTTGACTAACCATGAGATGCTACAAAATGAAATAGACACTTGGTTACCGTTCAGTCTCTCTGTTTTCCTTCCATCTTCCACACAGACTTGTTTTTGTCTGAATAACACAGATACACCCTAAAATCTAATCTGTATTTTTTTTCATCACAGGACAAAGGCGTTTTCTTTAGTGTCTGCTGCCAGAGTTTTCAAGCATTTGCCCTTCCCTCCCTGAAGTTTCTCCACACTTAGGATTGACTCATGAGGTTGCTTCACAGCGCCATTGCTTCACGGTGACTTTGCCCAATCTGGCCTACTGCTATAAAGTTTGAAAGATGCACACACTAACAGAGACACACATCTACACACAAGCAAGCACCAGATCCCCACATGTTTTAAATTGCTGCTAATCATCTTAATATTTTGTTTTTATTTGAACTCAGATGGTTCACAAGCCCTTTGAATCAAAAGGTACAGTCATTTTAGGTATGGTGCCAAGAGTGCATTGCCTAACACATTGCTAATCTGGACATTAAGGTACTAATAAAGTCAGTAATTAATTACCTTTACTAAATACCTTTTGTGAACCAGTCACTGAGATTCTGCATTGTGTTGAGAGAATTTAAAATTTAATATTTACCATTTCAGAATGCTCTATGCAAATAAAAACATGATAGGCCAATCTAACCATTCTGGTCATATTGGATGTATTTCAAAAAACAAAATGTGATTATGGATATTTTTAAGTGAATCACGAATAGTCCACAATAAAATTCACTCAACAAGCAAGGTTCTGTCAAGGACATAACCCATTCTTTAAAGATTCTTTTAGACTTTTTTCTTTTATTGAAAAATAGAATTTTTTTTTCACACCATATGTCCTGATTATAGTTTCCTCTCAACCCACTCATCCCATTTCCTCTCCATTTCCTGTCTGGATCCACTCAGGTTCTGGCTCTCATTAGAAAACAAGCATGCTTCTATGAAATAATATTAAAATATAACATAATAAGATACAACAAAAATGAATACATCAGATTTGGACATAACAAGCAGAAGGAAAAGAGCCCAATAAAAGGCACAAGAAATCAATAGCCACTCATTCCCCTCCCAGGAATAAGATAAAGCTGGGCAGTGGTAGCACATACCTTTAATCCTAGTACTAGGAAGGCAGGTGGATCTCTGTGAGTTTGAGGCCAGCCTGGTCTACAGAGTGAGTTCCAGGATAGCCATGGCTACCCAAAGAAAAACAAACAAACAAACAAAAATGTAAAAAGAGGAAAAGCCCCCACAGGGCATTGTAAGTCAAGGAAACTCCTCCTAAGATGCCTTTGGGTTTGTTTTCTGTTGGCTACTACTAAGCATGCAGCCCATTCTTAAGAGTAGTTTGTTTCCCCAGTAAGATTCCCTTGGAAGAATCTAGATTTTCATTTGCAAGTGGTTATCAACTGGAGATGGTTTCTGCGTTAAGATTGGGGCACGTGCCCACTTCTTTTAGCTCTAGGGCACCATGTGGTACATACCCACACGGGCCCTGTGCATGCTGCCTCGGGCTCGATGTGAGTTCATATGGTCCTTGGTGGTGTTGATTTAGAAGGCCTTGTTTTCTTGGTGTCCTCCATCCCCTCTGGCTCTTACACTCTTACTGCCTTTTCTTCCTCAAGGTTCCCTGAGCTCTGAGGGGAGGGAATTGATGGAGACATCGTGCTTAGAGTTCAGTGTTCCAGGTCTCTCACTCTCTGCATACTGTCTGGCTGTGGATCTCTGTCTTTGTGCCCATCTGCAGCAGGAGGAAGTTTCTCTGATGATGGTTGAGATAGGCATTGATCCATAAGTATAGAAAAATGTTATTAGGAGTCATTTCATTGCTTTTTTTTTTTGAATAGTAGTATTTAGTTTTACACTAGGTTCCTGGGCTTTCTAGTCTCAGGTTCTTATCACCTAAGCAGTGTGGGTATGGGTTCCATCTTGTGGAGTGGTCTTTAATACATATCAGGTATTGGTTAATTGCTCCCACAAACTTTGTGCCACTATTCCCCTAGCATATCTTGCAGGCAGGACACCATGGAAGATCAAAAGGTTTGTGATTAAGTTGGTTTGTGTGGAGAGTACTTTCCTGTACCAAAGATCCTGGCATGTTTGGCCATTTTGAGGGTGTAAGATAGGATCTCAAAGTAGCTTTGATTTGTATTTCTTTGATGGCTAAGGATGTTGAACATTTCTTTATGAGTTTCTTGGCCATTTCAGTTTCTCTTTTGAGAATTTCCTGTTCAGATCTGTACTCTATTTTTTAGTGGAGTTATTTGTTTGATATCTGGTTTTTTGTTATTTATATATTTTAGATATTAGCCCACTATTAGTTGCATAGATGGTAAAAACCTTTTCCCATTATGTAGGCTTCCACTTTGTCTGAATGATGGTGTCCTTTGCCATGTAGAAACTTCTCAGCTTCATGAGGTCTCATTTATTAATTGTTGATCTAGTGCCTGTGTTCACAGTATTCTATTCAGAAAGTCTTTTCCTGTGACAACAAGCGTAAGGTTATTTTCCAACTTTTTCTGCTATCAGCCTTCCAGTTTGACCAACACCATTTGTTGAAGATGCTGTCTTTTCCCCAGTGTGTGTTTCTGGCCACTTTATCAAAAATCGGTTGTCTATAGGTGTGTGGATTTATATCTGGGTATTCATTTCTATTCCATTGATCAACGTGTGGGTTTTTGTGCCAATATCATGCTGTTTTCATTAATATAGCTCTGTAGTACAACTTGAAATCAGAGATGCTGATATGTCTAATAGCTCTTTTATTATTCAGGATTGTTTCAGCTATCCTGTTTTTGTTGTGTTTTTTTTTTTTTTTTGTGTGTGTGTGTGTTTCCATATTAGTCTGAAAATTGTCCTTTCAAGATATATGAAGAATTATGTTGTAATTTTGATGAGGATTGCATTGAACCTGTAGATTGCTTTTGGTAGGGTAGCCATTCTTACTGTACCAATTCTACAGATACATGAGCATGGAGATCCTTGCATCTTCTGATATCCTTATTCAGTTTCTTTCTTCATTGTCTTGAAGTTTTTATCTTTCACTTGCTTGGTTAGAGTTACCTCAAGATTTTTCATATTATTTGAGGCCATTGTGAAAGGCGTTGTTGCCCTGGTTTCTTTCTCAGTCTGTCATTTCTATATAGGAGAACTACTGATTTTTGTATCTAGCTAGTTTGCTGAAAATGTTTATCAGCTGTAGGAGTTTCCCAGTGGAATTTTTAGGGACACTCTATATACTATCATATCCCCTCAATCTTCTTCAGCTGTCTTCTTGCCCTAGCCAAGACTTCAAGTACTATATTGAATAGGTATGGTGAGTGTCTTGTTCCTGGCTTTAGTAGAATTTCATTGAGTTTCTCTCCATTTAAGTTGATATTGGCTATGTGCTTGTTGTAATCTGCCTTTATGATGTTGAGGTATGTATCTTGTGTCCCTAAACTCTCCAGGACTTTTATCATGAAGGGATGTTGAATTTTGTCATAGGCCTTTTCTTCATCTAATGATATGATCATGTGGCGTTTATCTTTTAGTTTGTTTACATGGTGGATCACATTTACTGACTTATATATGTTGAACCATCCCTGCCTGTCTGGAATGAAGCCTACTAGATCATGTTGAATTATCTTTTTTATGTATTCTTTTATTCATTTTGCAAGTACTTTATTGATAATTTTTGCATCTATGTTCATAAGAGAAATTGGTCTATAATTCTTTTTCTTTGTTGGATGTTTGTGTGGTTTTTGGTATCAGTGTGACTGTGCCTTCATCAAATGAATTGGGTAATGTTTCCTCTGTTTCTATTTTGTGGAATAATTTGAGGAGTATTGGCATTCTTCTTTGAAAGTCTGGTAGAACTCTGCACTAAAACAATCTGGCCCTGGACTTTTTTTTTGGTTGGGAGACATTTAATGTCTTCTTCTGTTTCACTAGTAGTTATAAGTCTGTCTAAATTGCTCATCCAATCTTGGGTTAACTTCAGTAAGTGGCATGTATTGAGAAAATTATACACGTCTGTTAGATTTTTCCAATTTGGTGGAGTATATGTTTTAAAAGTAAGTCCTGATGACTCTCTGGATTTCTTCAGTGTCTAATTATTATGTCCCCTGTTTATTCCTAATTTTGTTAATTTGGATATTCTCTCTTTGTCTTTTAGTTAATTTGGATAAGGGTTTGTCAATCTTAGTGGTTTTTCTCAAAGAACGAACTCCTTGTTTCATTGATTCTTTGTATTGGTTTTATTGTTGATGTTGTTGTTTCTATTTTATTGATTTCACCCCTGAGTTTATTTCTTCCTGTCAACTCCTTTTGGGTATGCTTTCTTCTTTTTGTTCTAGAACCTTCAGGTGTGCTGTTAAGTTACTAGTATAGAGATCTCTTTAAATTTTTTATATATGCATTTAGTGCTATGAACTTGACTCTTTGAACCACTTTCATTATGTCTCTTAAATTTGGGTATGTTGTGTATTGATTTCCATTCAATTCTAGAAAGTCTTTAATTTCTTTCCTGATTTCTGTCTTGATCCAGTTATCATTCAGTAGTGAGTTGCTGAGCTTCTGTGAGCTTGTAAGCTTTTTGTTTGTTTCTGTTTCTGATGAGCAGCTTTAATCTGTGGTAGTCAGAAAGGGTGCAGGTGTTATTTCAATTTTCTTGTATCTGTTGAGACTTTCTTTGTGTCCAAGTGTGTAGCAAGTTTGGAGAAAGTTCCATGAGGTGATGAAAAGGTATATTCTTTTGTGTTTGGGTAAAAAGTTCTATAACTATCGGTTAGATCTATTCAGTTTATATTGTCACTTACCTTCAGGGTTTCTCTGTTTAGTTTTTGTCTGGATGACCTGTCTATTGGTGAGACTTGTGTACTGAAGTCTCCAACTTTAAGTGTGTGAGGGTCAATATGTGATTTAAGCTGTAGTAATTTCTTTTATGAACTTGGATGTCCTTGTGTTTGGTGTATAAATGTTAAGAATTCCAATGTCCTTTTGGTCTTATTTTCTTTGATGAATACGTCCTTCCCCATTTCTTCTGATTAGTTTTGGTTTGAAATCTAATTTGTCAGATATTAAAATGCCTACACTAGCTTTCTTCTTAGGTCCATTTGCTTGGAATGTGTTTTTTCCATCCTTTACCCTGAGGTAATGTCTATCCTTGATGTTGAGGTGTGTTTCTTGGATGCAGCAGAAGGATAGATCCTATTTTCACATGCATTTTGTTAGTCTGTGTCTTTTTATTGGGGAATTGAGATCACTGATGTTGAGAGAGATGAACAAGTAGAGTTTTGTAATTCTTGTTGTTTTGCTGTTGTGGTGTGTGTGTGTGTGTGTGTGTGTGTGTGTGTGTGTGTTGATTTGCTGGTCTCGGATTATTCATTCCTTTTGTTTTCCTTGAAGTGGCTGACCTCTTTAGGTTGGAGTTTTCCTTCTAGCACCTTTTGACCTTTTGTAGGACTGGGTTTGTAGATATACATTATATATATATATATATATATATATATATATATATATATATATATATATATAATTTACTTAAACTAGGTTTTATCATGGAATGTCTTGTTTTTCTCATTACTGGGACTGTAAGTTTTGCTGAGTATAGTAGTCTGGGCTGGCATCTGTGATCGCTTAGAGTAACATCTGTCCAGGCCCTTCTGGCTTTTAAAATCTGTTGAGAAGTCAGTTGTAATTCTAATAGGTCTCCTTTTATATGTTACTTGCTCTTTTTCCCTTGAAACTCTTATGTTCTGTACATGTAGTATTTTGACTATTTGTGCCAAGGGAACTTTCTTTTCCAGTCCTGTCTATTTGGTGTTCTGTAGGCTTCTTGTATCTTTTAGGCATCTCTGTTTCAGGTTTAAGGGGATTATCTTCTATGATTTCGTTGAAAGTATTTTTTGTACCCTTGATTTGGGTTTCCCCTCCTTCCTGTATTCATATTATTTGTTCTTTTTGCAGTGTCCCAGATTTCCTGGATGTTGTGCTGCAGCTTTTTTGTTTGTTTGTTGGCTTGTTTGTTTTAGATTTAACATTTCCTTTGACCATAGTATCCATTTCTTCTATAGTGTCTTTGGTGACTGAAATTCTCTCTTCTATCTCTTGTATTCTGTTGGCGAGGCTTGCCTCTGAGGTTCCTGTTTGAGTCCTGAATTCTTTTATTTTCAGATTTCTCTAGTTTGGGTTTTCTTTATTGATTCTGTTTCCCTTTTAGGACTTGACCTGTTTTGTTCATTTCTGTCTACCGTTTGTGTGTCCATAGATTTATTTGAGGGATTTATTCATTTCCTCTTTAAGGACCTCCATCATCTTCATAAAGGCTATTTTAAGGTCTTTGTTTTGTGCTTCAGCTATGTTGGAATACTCAGGGCCTACTATAGGGCGACTGGGCTCTAGTAGAGACATATTGTTCTGGCTGTTATTGATTGTGTTTTTATGATGGTGTCTAAGCATGTATGTCCTGGAAGACTGTAATTCTAGGTGCAGATATCTGGTTTTCTCTACATTGAGTAATGTTTTGTTCCTTGGTTTCTGTTTCCCCTGGTTCTTAGAAGAATGTCATAGGTGGGTATTGCCTGGTAGGAAATTCTTCTGGGATTCTGATAGGTTGACCACTGGGGGTAAAATGTGTTTCTAAGTATCAGGAGTGACATTTAGGAGTGGGGATGGCCTAGGAGGAGGGACTGAGGGATCCACAGGAGGGAGAGAGCAGGGTATTCCACCAGGAAGTGCTTAGTGCCCTGGGAATAGAGACAGAGAGTGAGCAGAGGCCACAACAGGTGGTCTGCTGAACAACTGGGCATGAGATTTGTGGGTTGGATTTGGAGGACTGGGGGATAAACATCTGCAGTTAGCCTAGTTCTTCCCAGGCCATTTTGAATTTCATTCTTCAAATATCTCACAAGGCCTTTCTGAAGACAAACATACACACATTGCTCTACAAATGCTTCTATATTGATCTGACATTTGCATTAGTTGGCTTTTATTAAGATTAAATTTTTATTATAATAAAGCCACATAAAAAAGTTCAATTTATTTTCTTTCTTTCATCTAGCACTTTTTTGAAGACCCTGAAGGAAAGATTGAATTACCACCATCATTGAAAGTCTTTACCTGGAAACGTCCACAAGATTTTATATTTAGCAGAGTAAGAATTGTTTTCACTATTGAATGAAACACTTATTACCTAGAAGGATGAAATATCTTAGTGGCCAAAGTTTGCATTCTTCAAGTAATTTGCAGTGTTTTTCCTGTGATTTACTGCAAAAGTTATTGCTTTTTAGCTTCTAACTCAGAAATTAATATTTGTCTGTATATTTTAATAATTCATTTGTGGGTGGGACTATGGAGATGGCTCCGTTAGTTAGGTGCTTTCTGCACAAGCATGAGGGCATGGGTTCATGTGGCAGCATGTGGCTTGTGACCACAGCACTAGGGATGGATACACAGGCTAACCTCTGGGGCTCACTAGCCAACCAGCCTAGCTGAATTATGCATTCCAGGTAAAAGTAAAACCCTGACTCCAAAACCAGAGTGGACAATGACTGAAGAAGACATCCAAGGTTGCTCTCTGCTCTCTACACATTCCACCTAGGCATCACAGTACACATATATAGACATGCACATGTGCATATGTGCATGCACACACACCCATACACACACACACACACACACACACACACACACACACACACACACACATACACACACACACATACACACAAATAACATTTCTTGGGTAGATTTCAAAGATATTACTGTGGTTTGATCTAGAGGCTTGATTTTTCTACTTCTATCCAAAATGTCAAATTATAGCCAAAAATGTTGCACAAAGTTATTTGTTATTTGTGACTAGTGGATTTGCCCCACTCTGTGTCTCAGTGTGAAATCATAGGGTGTGAAAGTCTCTTCCCTCCATTGTTTATTAGAATTAATTTTCCAGTCCAAGAGATTTGCACTTGGGTTCCCTTCTTCCAGGGATCCTCCAAGCATTTTCCGAAGCCTGTCTCCATTTCTAGACTCCATGCTCAGTCAGTTGAATCATACCTTTGTGGAGACACCTTCATATCAAACAGCTCTCACATACTTTCGAACGTTAGTCTAACACCTTAATAGCCACATTAATTTGAGTGTATTTCTTGTCTGCAGGGTTTTAATTATCACTAATGCTTTTCCCCTTGCTGAATGTCTTATTGTTTTCATTGAATGCATTGAACACCAGTAGGGTAAATTAATTAGTACCAGTCAAATAGTTTGTAATGGAGCCAATTCTTGTGTGCATTTGTAGTCTATTGAGTCTCTGTTTCCACACAAAGTAATTTCTATCTTTCAGAGTGTTAGCCTTCATCAGTGTCGGTACTAATGTAGGGAAATGTAGTTCAGTCCTCTTAGTAATTGAAAGGTAGCTGTATCTACATCCAAAGCAATTTACTAAAACAACACCGTCTTTTGAATGCTTCTAAGACATTTCAAATAAGTCCATTATGCACAAAACATGCTTCTAAATCAATTTTAATATCAAGCAACATTGACATGAATATAAATTCTCTGCTGCTCACATAATGCAATTGACTTTGATAGGTCTTTAATAAATCTTGTTCTGCTTACTGTAAATTCATTATTGATATTCTGTGCAAAAAAATGGCCTTATAAATTGAATAAATAGATGTTTTAAGAATAATTTCCTCTACTTTTTAGTAGACAGTGGGTCTAAGAGTTACATTTGTACTAAAAATAAATCTAGTCTTCCCTGAAACCTCTCCATCTCTATGCATCATAACTGGCCATCAGCCTGCACACCACCTCTGGTCCTCCACAGAGGTTTCTCTTGATGGATCATCCTAGAATGGGGCCCAGAGTTTCCAGAAGTGAAGGTCTATCGGAGGAAACCCCTAAAATAGGGGTTTCAGGATTTGATGTATAGACTCACAATAAAAATCATTAAGTATACTCTAAGGTTAAAGCAAACAGAAAAAAAAATCCCATACAATAAGGACCTTCTTGTATGAGAGGTGGACTATAACACCTTCCTTCTCTCCAACTGTTTCATGAAGCTAATCTCATTTTTTCTTTTCTTTTGAAAATTGCAACATTGCACCCTTTCCTTTCCTCTCCCAAACATGTCCACACACCCTACTTTTTATTAGTTGCTGCTACATGCATATATGTATGTGTATATACATATATATATTTATATTTATGTATATATACATATTTATATTCCTAAATATAACCTGCTGAGTCTGTAATGCTGCTCCTATGTATGCTTTTCAGTGAAATCCTTTAAGAAAGGGCAGATTGCTCTGACCCCACCTCCTCCCCTTGGGAGCCACATTTGCCTGTAAACGAATGGCTATTCCCTACTCTTGGTAGCAGGATTTTTTTCACAACACCAAAAAGGGGCCCTCTTCCCTGCTGAGAAGGGGTCCTGATGTGTACAAATAGTTAGATTCCTCTGGAGGAATGGCCTTGTGTGATGTTTTTTTATAATATCAAAGCTTACTTGTAAAAATCCTGCACCTGGTGCGATGTAATCTCAGCCTTTGACCTTAAAGACTTTATTCTGCTTTCCCTGGTTGCCAAGAGTTTTCCCAGGCACTAGGCTGCTCTGCATCAGTCTGCTAGAGGACTCAATATATTTGTTATTGGCTTAATAAAGTGTGGTGATCTGAAACATTCTGGAGTAGATTATATCACTCAGGACTTTTGGTATTAGATAACCAGTTAATGTGCTCTTCCCTGGAGAGAAATGTTTTTCCCACAAAACTGTCTTCTAATAAGTTAGAGATTTGTTTTTTTAAAGAAAGGTAAAAGAAACCTATGTCTACGTTTTTAATTTCAGCCTCCTGTAGTTGTGAAAAACGAAATCACGTTTGACTTGTTTTCACCAAATGAACATTTACTCTGCAGTGAGGTAAGTTAGGCCACAGGGCCCACTGCCCCTTTGAGGATTGTCTTCTAGGCCTGTCTACAGAAACAGCTCCTGGACAGCCGTCAGCAACTCACTCTTGTTCACTTTTAAGTCATGATACAATTGAGTGGGGTTTTTATTTTTTATTTTTCCAACTTCTTTGATGTATAGCTGTCAATTAAAAATTGTATTTATGTATTTATAAAATATAATTTTAGTGATTCAGTATATAAATATATATGTACAGTATATATCAACATATATACACACAGTATATAGCAATATATATACACACAGTGTATATACTGTCTGTGTATATATTACATATATACACTCTACTAACTCAAGGTCAGTGTCAAGTCAAAGTGTTAACTTTTTTAGACCTTTTAATTTCTATTGTTATTCCTTCTCATGGAAACAAAATCAAGGCCTATGAGTTTTTTTTCTGTAGCTCAGAAATCAAAATGATAAATATACTATATGTAAAATTTGTTACTCTTAGAAACATTTTTATTGTATTTCACTTAAAACTGCAGTACCCATCATTTAAAAAAATAACCTATCAATACTAGTGACTTTTGTTGTTTTGTGTTCAGCTTATGAGGTGGATTATCAGTGAAATCTACGCTGTGTGGAAGATATTCAATGGAGGGATTCTGAACAATTACTATAAAGGAAATTCGGGAGAGCTTCCTAGTCTGCTCTGGAAGCCCTGGGAACACATATATTCTCTCTGCAAGGCTGTGAAGGGCCACATGCCTTTGTTTAACGTATATGGGAAGTATGTTGTGAAGCTTTACTGGATGGTAAGTTATTCAAGCTGCTGTGCCTTTAAATTCATCTGTCCTTCCTATTAAAATAAGAAATGAGAATTTTTTTTTTTTAAAAAAAAAAACAGTGTTTAGTTTAAGTAGGCAATCTCAGATTTTCTTTATGAAGGTTCGCCTTCTATGGGATACTGGTAGGAGTGTGGCTGGGCAGCCAGATTGAATGTGGGGTTCATTGATTTTCAGTGAGTCTTCATTAGTTTCAGCCAAAGAACAGCTTACAGGGGTGCTGCTCAGCGGGCAAGCACTGCAACTTAGGGATTTCCACGTGGGTTATTTTTACCAGCGTGCTATAGATTAATGACTACTTCTTCCAGTTGATAGAAGTCTGTTGTCTCTCAGCGAGGGAAGAACTTCTGCCTCTTTCTAAGCAAACCCAAGCTGGGAGGGTCCATCCACACCAGTGTGTGCATGCATTACCATTGGTGAAGAATTTGAGTAGATTCTTTCTGACAGGATAGCTATATTCCTCCTGTACTTGTCTATCCTTTGCAAAGATTTGGAAAGCATGATCCTAAAAACACACTTGGCTCCCTTCTGCTGATTCAGTGTGATGTGCGGCAGACATGGTTTTCCCTCCATTGCTCTTCCTCTCCTCGCTCCCTCTTCTCTGCCATACTGTTTTCTTTTCACTCTGAGAGCGATTTCCTTCTCTGCCTTTTTACAGAGATTCTTTTCCTTCTTTTCTCAGGTCCCTCAGAGCCTTCTCCATCATGACTTCTAGGAGGCAACCCATTTTCTCGGAGCCTCTAATATTTAAAATTCTGATTTAAAAAAAAAACAAAAACCCTCTTTAGTGACACAGGCCTGTTGTCCCCTAAACTTAAGAGACTAAAGCTGGAGGTCCTGAAGTTCAAGGCCTGTCTGGGCTAGCATGGGCAAATTTCCCAAATAAAAAGTTAAAACCATCAATCAGTCAATCAGTCAATCAAACAGACAAACAAACCCAACGAGGCATACAGCTAAATGGTGGAGTACATGCCTAACTGTAACGTTCTGGGTCCAATCCCCAGTACTGGAACATCAAGTAAGTAAAATTTGTGATTTTCATACCAGGATATTATTTCTCAGCAAAGTATTCACATCATATTCAGCCTGGATTCTTAGCTAGCTGCACAAGGTTCTTTGACGTACTGGGTCACACTGAGAACAGCGCATAAAGGAGAGAGGCTGGTTTCCTCTTCCATCTGGCCATAATGACAGGACGCAGGGACACACGGCATCTTTCCAAGTTCTTCCTAATTTCCATATTGCTTTGGCTCCCAAGAGGAGTGAGAGAAGCAATTTAGCTATTGTTCCCCACTTGAAATACAGCCCATTGTGGGCAGCCTCCCTCTGTCTCTGCTTTCATCTGCCTCTGATAAACAGATAACACATACATGGAGACCAATAATCCCCTCCCCCAGTTGTTACCAATGTATTTGTGTGAAAAATGTTTTTGTTGTTATTCCTCACTGAGCTTTAAATTTTCATTTACATTATCTAATTTAGAGTTTCTTGGACTGTGAGGTATAGCGAATTCTAGCACAAACATGTAGGGACTTCAAATCCCTGCTTCCCATGCTCCACCCCTCTCTTTGACCAGCAGAATCCACCTGGGAGCTGAGGCTGCAATATTGTTTTGTTTTCTGCTGTATTGTTTTTGAGACTCAGTCTCATTTGCACTGGCTGGCCTTGAACTCACAATGTAGGATGGCCTTGGACTGTCCTGTCCTCATCTCCCATCTGCTAGAATAGCTGTGTCAGCCACCAAGCAACACCTACAATCCTACTTTTAAAATAAATTCTCAATGATATTTTTTATTAATTAAACTTAATGAACAGTGCATTCAAGATATTAAACAATGA